GAGAATTGAGTAGAGTTCCCTGTGCTGTACAGTAGGTCCTTATTAGTTATCTATTTTATATATAGTAGTGTGTATATGTCAGTCCCAGTCTCCCAATTTAGTCCCTTCCACCCCGCCTGCCTTGGACCTCAGGTTTTGGAAATAACTTTATAAGAGCATACACTCAATAGCTTCCATTTCATGGGCTTTTCAAAGCAACAATTTTTTTTTTTTAAGATGCTGGGGGTAGGAGTTTATTAATTTATTTTTTATTTATTTTTGCTGTGTTGGGTCTTTGTTTCTGTGCGAGGGCTTTCTCTAGTTGGGGCAAGCGGGGTCCACTCTTCATCGCGGTGCGCGGGCCTCTCACTGTCACGGCCTCTCTTGTTGTGGAGCACAGGCTCCAGACGCGCAGGCTCAGTAGTTGTGGCTCACGGGCCTAGTCACTCCGCGGCATGTGGGATCCTCCCAGACCAGGGCTCGAACCTGTGTCCCCTGCATTAGCAGGCAGAGTCTCAACCACTGTGCCACCAGGGGAGCCCCAAAGCAACAATATTTTATTAGAAAATACATTTAGTGGGTGGCCCAAATTATGTAATCTGGGATATTCCTTGATTAACAACTCCAGTTCCTTTATAAGCAAATCTTCAATGTTAAAAATCGTTATGGAACTTCCCTGGTGGCGCAGTGGTTGAGAATCTGCCTGCCAATGCAGGGGACATGGGTTTGTGCCCTGGTCTGGGAAGATCCCACGTGCTGCGGAGCAACTAAGCTCAGGCACCACAACTGTTGAGCCTGCGAGCCACGACTACTGAAGCCGCGCTCCTAGAGCCCATGCTCCACAGCAAGAGAAGCCACCGCACTGAGAAGGCTGTGCACCGCAACGAAGAGTGGCCCCCGGTCACCGCAGCTAGAGAAAGCCCACGTGCAGCAATGAAGACCCAATGCAGCCAAAAATAAATAAATTAAATAAATAAATTTTAAAAAATCGTTATAACTCAAGCAAAGAAACTTTGCCTCTTGTCATAGACAATTCAATAATATGAAAGGCAAAATTAATCCATAATAACATTCCTGTCATTAGTTGAAAGTAAATAAGGCTTGTTCTGTTTAAAACTATAATGTCAAAATGCGTTTTCATTGATTCTAGCCTCTTTCTTTTTTCATCCTTTTTCCCTCTCCCTGCCTTGGTGGCAATATGTTTAATAATTTAGGCCTCTGGTTCTCTCTCACTCTCTATTTCCATTTGGGATTTAATGTACCATAGCCCTCCTGGACTTCTTGCTACCCCTTTGAGGTTAATTTCAGTGTATCACTGCTCCCTCCAAAAAAAATTAACTCCAACTCCAAAAGTATAAATAATGTTGATTTAAGAAAATCTAGTAAGATGGAGTAGGGATAACTTTATATATAACGTTCTGCAGAATGTCTTAAATACACCTCTTAACGTTTCCCCCCAATGTTTCCTCCTGTTTCTTTCCTTCCTCCTGCAAAAATCCTCTTTATCTTCTTTAAGCATACTTAGCCTCCCTTACCCAGATTAGTTACTAATTAGTTCAGTAAAACAAAACAAAAACAAATCCAGAGACATGAACCTAATATATCTCAAGTATGCCTTCAGGGCTCCTCACTTCATCCTGTCACACTGCGAACATAGGAAAAGCTCTAACACAATCTTTAGTCTGATCAAACATGGCAGAAGGAAACCATTAGTACTGAAACTAATTTTTGTATTGATTTATTATTAGTTTCAGTCTTAGCTTCCATAACAAAGAAACCCCCCTAAATCCCATACTGTAAAAAGGACTGAAGTTTATTTATTTTAGCTAATAGCCCAAAGATGGATGGTATAGGACTGGTGGGACAGCTTTGCCATTGTGACACTTGGCTTCCATCTCTGGTCTAAGAGCTTCAATTTGGTCTGAGGTCTTCTATCTTTAGTCTAAAATCTTGAGCTCTCACCATCCCATCTGTATTCAGCCAGTGGGAAGTAAGAAAGGCACGTGGAGTGCACACATGTTTCTTGAAAGGACATGACCCAGAAGTGGCAGACATCATTTGTTCTTACCTGCCATTGGCAGAACTTAGACATGGGGCCGTACCTAGCTTCACGTTACTCTAGCTGGGTGGCCATGTGCCCAGCTAAAAATTAGGAATTCCATAATGTAATGAAAGGGAGAATAGATATTGGTACACAATTAACTGTCCCTGCCACTGCATACCTTTCTGCCACTCAAATATGCATGAGCTCTTCTTTTCACTTAGAACATATGCCTTCTCCCAAAGGGAGACCTTGCAAATACCCCAAACAGTTACAGCATCCAGCCTAAAGTCTGTGACATCTGGGTGATATGAAGTCCTCTCAATCAAGATTGGATGGGAATCCTTACTATTTGCCAAGTTGTCTGCCCTCTTCCACACCCAAAATTAGTGGTGGAAGAGGAATAAGATAGCCTCAATAAAAACCCACATTCACAAAAGGGAAGCAGGCAAAACACACAGTGGTCATTGGTCCATAGTGATTACCAAATCCTGCCAGGCAGTAATTGTGAAGACTCCCTGAGCCGGAAGTGGAGAAAGTGATTTGCTTGGCCTGTGGTTCAGTGTTATGGGAGGAATCTCCTTGTCCATTGTTATCTGGGTTGTTCCTGCTGTTATCCTTCGTGTGTCCATCTAAAGTAGATGTTGGAGAAAGTGCCTTTCTTGGGGCTTCACCACTTGTGCAGCTTATTTCCTGTTGATATGGGTTTGAGAGATTGGAGTTTGCTGTAGAGGCCAAAAAGCCATAGACAAGAAGG